TTGTTATTAAACCATAATTCTAATCAATGATTAGGCTGTACCTTTGTAACTCAGGTCACACCTCAGCTTGGTGTCAAACATCCTGGGGCTTTAGCTTCATTTTATATTAACATGCTGATCGACAACCCCCGCCCCCACCCCAGTCTGTTTTATCTAGACCTTTCTGGCCCATGTTGCTACCTCTTCAGATATACAGGCGGTAACCCCCAGGGAAAACAGATCCTTTAGTCTTGTTGCTGAAAGATTTTTAAAAAATATTTAATTCTCTCCTGTTTATCTAATACTATTGTAAGTCTTGATTGGAAGATCTTAAGAAATGTCTCTTCTTCCTGATCTTTTATTTTGAAAATTTTCTTTTCTTTTTTTTTTTTTAAAGATTTTATTTATTTATTTGAGAGAGAGAGAATGAGAGAGAGAAAGCACATGAGGAGGAGGAGGGTCAGAGGGAGAAGCAGACTCCCCGCTGAGCAGGGAGCCCGATGCGGGACTCGATCCCGGGACTCCAGGATCATGACCTGAGCCGAAGGCAGTCGCTTAACCAACTGAGCCACTCAGGTGCCCTTATTTTGAAAATTTTCAATCTACAGAAAATTAGGTCAAATTATATAATAAACATCCTGTATCTTTCATCTATACTCACCATTTGCTAAAAACTTTTCTGCATTTGTTTTTATCTTTCCTTCTCTATATAGATGTATATGCTCTTTGGGGTACAATTTGACATTTCATCCCTAAATGCTTCTTGTCACAGGATTTTTCTTATACTTTTTTTTCTTATACATTTCCACCAAATTAGAATATGTAAGTTCTCATGATGAATGATGCCAGAAGATACACTTCTTGGAAAGTCTTATTCTTCCATGCTTAGACTTCCTCCAAATAAAGTTTTCACCTCACTTTATATTACATTGATTTCTTGTTTTATTTTTAATAAGTATTTTCTAATTTTTTGTTTTATTTTATAATAAGCATTTTCTTATCACCCTCTACCACCACCCACCACCACTACTCTTATTACTCCTTTTGGATATTTTTTCACTTTTTAAACACTATGATAAATATAACATTAAATTTGACATTTTAATCATTTTTATTTTACTTATTTATTTTTTAAAGATGTATTCATTTATTTTGAGAGAGTGAGAATGAGAGAGAGAGAGTACATGAGAGCGGGGAGGGTTAGAGGGAGAAGCAGGCCCCCCGCCAAGCAGGGAGCCCGACACGGGACTTGATCCCGGGACTCCAGGATCATGACCTGAGCTGAAGGCAGTTGCTTAACCAACTGAGCCACCCAGGCGCCCCCATTTTAATCATTTTTAAAGTATATAGTTCAGTGGTGTTAATTATAGTCACAGTGTTGTACAACCATTACTATTAACTTTATAAAACTTGTATCACTCTAAACATGAAACTAACCATTAAGCAAGAACTTGCCCTTTCCCCATTTCCCTGGCCTTTGGTAAACTCTAATCTACTTTCTGTCTTTATGAATGTGTCTATTCTAGGTAGTTCACATAAGTGGAACCATATATTTGTCCCTTCTTGTGTGTGGCTTATTTCACTTTGTATAATGTATTTAAATCCATCCATATTGTAGCATGTCTCAGAACATCATCCCTTTTGGAGCACTTGAGTGGCTCAGTCAGTTAAGTGTCTGACTCTTGATTTTGGCTTAGGTCATGATCTCAGGGTTGTGAAATGGAGCCCTGCATGGGGCTCTAAGCTGGGTGTGGAGCCTGCTTAAGATTCTCTCTCCCTCTTCCCCTCCCCCATCTAAAAAAGAAAGAACATCTTCCACTAAATAATATTCCATTGCATGCATATACCACATTTTGTCAATCTCTTCATCTATTGGTGGACACTTGGGTTGTTTCCACCTTTGGGCTATTGTGAATATTGGTGTACCAGTATCTCTGAGTCTCTTTTGAATTTGGGGGAATGTATACAAACCTAGGAGTGGAATTCCAGGGTCATGTGGTAGTTTTACGTTTAGCTTTTTGAGGAACTGCCAAACTGTTTTCTACAGTGGTTGCACCATTGTATATTCACACCAGCAGTGTATGAGAGTTCCAGTTTCTCCATATCTTACCAATGCTTATTTTCTCCTAAAAATTTTTTGTTGTTGTTGAAGCATAATTAACAGTGTTACTATATTAGTTTCAGGTGTATCAAGATAAGTGTACTCTTAAATCTACTGTTTTACCCATTTCCCCTACATACCACCCCTCTGGCAACCACCAGTTCTCTGTATTTGCGAATCTATTTTTTTGTCTCTTTTTTTCTTTGTTCATTTGTTTTGTTTCTTAAATTCTACATATGAATGAAATCATATGGTATTTGTGTTTTTCTCTCTTATTTCACTTAGCATTATATTCTCTATCTCCATCCATGTCATTGCAGATAGCAAGATTTCATTCTTCTTATGGCTGAGTAATATTCCATTGTATATATAATTCATCTACTTTACCTATTCATCTACGGATGGACACTTGGGTTGCTTCCATATCTTGGCTATTGTAAATAATGCTGCAGTAAACATAGGGGTGCTTGTATCTTTTCAAATTAATGTTTTTGTTTTCTTTGGGTAAATACCCAGTAGTGGAATTAACTGAGTTATATGGTAATTCTATTTTTAGTGTTTTGAGGATCCTCCATACTATTTTCCATAGTGGCTGCACCAATTTGCATTCCCACTAATAGTGTATGAGGGTTCCTTTTTCTCTCCCTCCTCGCTAACACTTGTTATTTCTTGCTTTGATTTTAGCTATTCTGACAGTGTAAGGTGATATCTCATTGTGGGTTTTTTTTAAATTTAAAAATTTTTAAAGATTTTATTTATTTGAGGGAAAGAGAGAGAGCGATAGCATGAGCAGTGGGGAGAGCGAGAAGCAGGCTCCCTGCTGAGCAGGGATCCCGACGCAGATCTCCATCTCAGGACCCCCGGATCATGACCTGAGCTGAAGGCAGATGCTTAACCAACTGAGCCACCCAGGCAGGCACCCCTCTCGTGTGTGTGTGTGTGTGTTTTAAGATTTAATTTATTTATTTGACAGAGAGAGAGACAGAGAGAGAGGGACACAGCAGGGGGAGTGGGAGAGGGAGAAGCAGGCTTCCCGCCCAGCAGGGAGCCTGATGCGGGGCTTGATCCCAGGACGCTGGGATCATGACCCCAGCCTAAGGCAGATGCTTAACGACTAAGCCACCCAGGCGCCCCTCATTGTGGTTTTGATTTGCATTCATTTCCCTGATGATAAGTGATGTTGAGCATCTTTTCATGTATCTGTTGGCCATCTGTATGTCTTCTTTGGAAAAATGTCTATAATGGTCCTCTGCCCATTTTTAATCATATTATTATTATTATTTTGGTGTTGAGTTGTACAAGTTCTTTATATATTTTGGATATTCACCCCTTATCAGATACATAATTTGCACATATCTTCTCCCATTCGGTAGGTTGCCTTTTTTGTTTTGTTGATGGATTCCTTTCCTGTGCAAAAGCTTTTTATTTTGGTGTAGTCCCAATACTTTAATTTTGCTTTTGTTTCCCTTGCCAGAGAAGACCTATCTAGAAAAATGTTTCTATGGCCAATGTCAAAAAAGTACTGCTTATGTTTTCTTGTAGGAATTTAGGTCTCACATTTAGGTTTTAATCCATGTTGAGTTTATTTTTGTGTATGATGTTAGAAAATGGTTCAGTTTCATTCTTTTCATGAAGCTGTCCAGTTTTCCCAGCACCATTTGTTGAAGACACTGTCTTTTTCCTATTGTGTATTCTTGCCTCCTTTGTCATGGATTAATTGACCATATAAGCACAGGTTTATTTCTGGAGTCTATCTGTTGCATTGAGCTATGTTTTTATTTTTGTTCCAGTGCCATACTGTTTTTCCCTTTCTTTGATTATAGCCATCCTGTTAGGTTGAAGTGGTATCTCATTGTGATGTTGGGCATCTTTTCTTGGGCTTATTATTGATTTGCGTATCTTATTTGGGGAAATGTCTATTCAAGTCCTTTGCTCATTTAAAAACTTGGGTCCTTTTGTTGTTTAAGGGTTTTTTAGATGTTTTTGAGAGTAAACCCTTGTCAGATACATGATTTGCAAATATTGTCTTCCATTCTGCTTGTTATTTTCACTTTCTGGATAATGTTCTTTGATGCCCCAAAGTTTTAAATTTTGATGAAATCCAATTTATGTTTTTTATTTTGCTTGTGCTTTTTCTGATCTCTTTGTAACAGAACCATCAGCAAACAACAATTGTTGTTAGATGTTTGTTAGAGCTAGAGTTGCTTTTTTGGTTCGGGATCAGCAAAAAATAACAATATTAGTTGCCACTTACTGAGTACCTCATATATACTGGGTACCTTTGGGAAGCTTGAAAAAATAATTCTAAGGAAGAGTCATAATTTCATTCTTTCCAGGTAAATCCTATTGAAACCCCTTAACCTCTCAAAGAGGTATAAACTTCCCTGTCATTCTGGAAGAAATTTAAGTCAGTACCACTGCTAGTATCTCTGTTGCACTAATGAGTTTCCTGGCATCTGCCCTGAATCCGAGGCTCTGCCACTCACACACATACTTCAGCTTCTGGAGGATCCAGGTTTCTTTTTTCTGCATTTCATTGAATTTCTTACTTAGCGCACCTGGTTTTTTACCTTACCCAGCTTGTCCACAGTCATCTTTACAAACTGCTTAAGAAACTCAAGGTAAATGGGGTTCCTTACAGAGGGAATACAGTTTTGAAACAGACTTTAAATGTGTTTTTATTGCACTAGGAAAGTGAGTTTCACATTTATAACTCTGAAATTCCTTTAGGAAGCTCTGTATGTGATGCTATTGATTAAAATAATTAGGTTTTTCCAGTGTGTAGTGTGAGTGCCTTGTCTCTAGTATATTTTCTCTCTGATGACTTAGTAATGTTTCAATTCCCCCCCAAACTAGGAAAATACAAATATAAAGTGTTCTATCAGTGCTTAATACAGTGTATTCTGATTTCTTCCCCTAGCGGATCTAAAAAGAACAATTGCTGTCCTTTTAGATGACATTTTACAACGTTTGGTAAAGCTGGAGAACAAGGTCGACTATATTGTTGTGAATGGCTCGGCAGCCAACACTACCAATGGCTCTAGTGGGAACCTGGTGCCGGTCACCACACATAAAAGGATAAATGCATCAGGCAGCATTAGATAGCAGTCGAAGATCACCTGTGCTGCTACATCCCCACCGTGGATTATATCCTGTGGCAGAAAGCTTTTCAGTTGCTGGCTGGGATAGAATAATACTGTACAATAAAAGCCCCACGCATTTCTGAGGAATATGCTGGATTCGCAGAACTCTAATTCTGTACATAAATTTTAAAAGTTAGTTTGCTTTTAGGCAAGTCTCCTCAATGCTATACTATATCCTTAAAGGGAATTTGGTAACATGGTTGATGTAGTAAGCAGGTAGGTGATCTTTGTATAAATCTTTTGTGTTTGAGATCAAGGTGAAACAAAAACACTGAAAGACATGGGTTCATTTCTATAAAATATTTATTTAAATATATCACATGTTTTTTAGACAAGTGGAGAATATTGTCATTGAATCATTTTGTCATTTGTTCTCAGTAGGTTTAACTGTTATACTAATAGTCATTAGAAAATGTGCTTACTGCCAGTACTATATTTTGTTACTCAGATTATGAGCAGAGAAAGGAAGTATAATGTTGAAAATAAGGTTTTGAAATCATGACCCAAAGAATGTCTTCATTTGCACTATCCTTCAGAATAACTGGAGGTTAATTATTGTATATTTTGAAAAATTACATTTGTAAGGGTATAATCTTGAAATGGTTAACGGTACTGTCCGTAACCTATTCTAAACATTGAGACAAGTAACATAAAAAGAGTAATCTCTAAACTCATACATAACATTTTCTAACATATATCCTGAAGAATAGAAGATATTTTTATGAGATTAAAAATAAGTAAAGTATTAATTCATGATTTTTCACATACATGAATATTAATTTAAAAGTTTAATCCTTTGAGTGTCTTTGTTCTGTGGAAAGCACATTATTTCCTCATTTGGGTAATTTTTGCTTTTGTTATGTTGGCAGTGGAGGAGAGACTGAAGTATTTGTGAGACTGGGATGCTTAAGGTCTTTAGCCAGATGTGTATAATAAAGGTATTTGTGCTGCATTAAATTGCTTGGAAATGTTGGCATTATATAAGAGTGCCATTTATGAAATTGTGGATTTGTGTAACAGATACATTAGGTATTCATTTTATATAATGACCACTTAAAAACAATTAAGAGCATTTAAAATATAATTTAAGTTATGAAGATTGATTCTCTTTTCAGGAAAACAGCTATTGTATATAGCACAAGAGATCCTAATCTTGGGTAATTCTAGGATAGAGCAAATACACCTTTATTTAAATTTCCTTTGTAGCAAATTTAATTGCCGTATGGTACCCTATATTTCATAGTATTTATTCTCTATAATAACTGTTTAAGTGCAGGTAGCTTCTCGATTTAGGCTATATTGAATTTAGTTTTGGATATTGTATTGTTCGTTATTATAATATGCTACCCCACATAGTAGCAATAATTATAATGCTTTATTAAAATAAGTATGAGAAAATATTGTTTCATGAAAGGTAGCTTTCTAAAACTCTTTTCTGTATACTCTATCTTTATGTGAAGAAATTAATTCTATACCATTGCCAGGTGAAGTTTGGGATAATTGTTCAGTCTTATTAGATGTGGACATTTTTGTTTTTCGTTTTTGTTTTCAGGGATGCAATAAAATATATTATTTGTACTTACAAAGTGTTTTAAGTTTTTTTCTTTAATGGCGGTTGTACATTTAGTAAGTGGTAAATGATTGAAAGTAATCTTAGATAATTTTGGGTTTTGTTCTATCAACTGCAGATACCTTTTTCGAAAGAACACAATGCAGGGGCACCTGGGTGGCTCAGTTAGGCGGCTGACTCTTGGTTTTGGCTTGGGTCATGATCTCAGGGTCCTGGGATCCTCAGGGTCATGAGATTGGGCCCCTCCCACTCGTGCTCTCTTTCTCTCTAAAATAAATAAATAAATCTTTAAAAAATAAAAACTCAACAGTAAACTTCAACTTGAGGGTATAAACCTAGGAACCACCTCTGATCATAATCCCCAGACTTGGTCCCATCAATGCCTGAACTCAGACTCTCCTATCATGAACAAGGCAATTTTCCATTTTTTAAAAAAAGATTTATTTATGTATTTGAGGAGGGAGGTGCAGAGGGAGAGGGAGAGAGTGAACCCTCAAGCCGACTCCCCACTGAGCACGGAGGCTGATGTGGGGCTTGATCTCAGAGCAAGGGTCGGATACTTAACCTACTAAGCCACCCAGGTGCCCCTACTGTTGAGCTTTTAAAAGTCATACCATAGTATTTATATTTTCAGGTAATCTTAATCAGGACATCAGCATAGAGGGCATCACTAAACACACTAAAAACTTTCAAATTTATTTCAGAGTTCCTTTGGGTTATTTCAGAATATCTTTTAAGCAGTATACTGGCAAGAGAAGTAATTTAAACATTATTTCACATAGTTAATGATAACTTGGGTCTCATTTGTCTTCAAGAAATACTTAGGACCTTGACTGTGGAGATAGAGTATAGAGGCTCAGGTCTGCCTTTTTTTTTTCCTTAAGATTTATTTATTTGAGAAAGTGTGCACGCACGCATGCGTGCACGTGCACGTGGGAAGAGGGAGGGGCTAACAGAGAGGGAGAGAGCGTCCCAAGCAGGCTCCACCCTGAGCACGAGCCCAATGTGGGTATCAATCTCGCCAGCCTGAGATAATGACCTGAGCCTAAGCCAATGGACTGTGCCACCTAGGCGCCCCTCAGGTCAGCTTTTCTAGTGACACCATGTTCTTCCTTCTTTTGAATTTATAGAATCTGCCTCATCTTATTTAATTCTGGCTCAGAAGGCTTAATAGCTTACATAGGAACTTCTGACTTGTATGTTTGGTTTCATTGCAAACAGCGTTGTTTTTAACCAAACACTTTCAGCTGAATAGCTATGGATGTAGTTATATTATTTTCCTTTTTTTTAGAGAAGTCCCCTTTACTTGAAAAGGGGACATGATGTAATGAAAGACATGAATGAATGAGTTAATGGAAACTTTTTTAAATAATTGAAAGCCTTGAATGATTCTTAACTTTTGGTTGGAATGGTAGAGTTCATCTTTTGAGAGAGCTAAAGAACTTGAGGGGAGAGAAATAAATGAATATGAAAATGAGAATAAATACAGAAAACCAAAATGGGGGGACAAATCTGAAATTTTTCTGTCTACAGATAACTGCTGTTGACACTTTAGTACATAAATGTGAATCTCATCTCTCCTGCCCACACTCTCCATTGTCTTGCCATTTCTACTTAAAATAAAATCCAGCATTCTCACTGTGGCCTGAAAAACCCTAATTTGCTCTTGTCTGCCTCCTAACTTCATCTCTAACTACCTTCCTCCTTCTTAATTCCTCTTTAGCTGTATTGACTTTCTCTTCCTGGGACATACATGCATGCTTTTGCCTCAGCAACTTGAAACAATATTCCTCTACTTGAAACTCTCATTCCCAGATACTTTCATGCCCCACCCCCCAACATTCAGGTGTTACTTTTTAAGGAAAGTTGTCTCTGACGATCTCCCTAAATTAGCATGACTCCAGCACTCTTCGTACTGTTTTACTTTTCTTCATAGTTGTGATATACCTAACATTAAATTGTATATTAATGTATTGTGTTTTTTCTGATGCCTCTTCCATGAAGACAGGGACTTCATTTTGTTCACTGATACAATCTGGGCATAAGCAACTGTGTCTGGCACATAATAGGTGCCTGATAAATACTTGTTAAAAGTAGTTACTAAGCCATTCTACACCTTTTGCTTTGTGCATCTATACCTTTATTTATATTTAAAAAAATTATATCAGACATTCTTTCTGTATAACGTATGAACTTCTTTCCAGGTCAGTAAGTATGTAACTTTCATGGCTTTTCTATTGTGTGGCTATATCACAGCTGATGTATCTTTCACTCAATTATTAGATACTTTGCAAACAAAAGTTTTAAACCTAGGTATGGGACAAGTCTAAAGGTTGTTCTCTTTCCATTATCCCATGCTGTCATCATTTTAGGTGGTAGTGGGTGATCCAGTAAAGTATGATTAATAGCCATTTGGGGGAGACAAAATAAAGTGGTGAAATAGCTCCATTTGATAGAACTACAAGGATGGAAAATCCAAAATGGTTGATCATCCTCAGACCTTGTTTTATATCATAAACAGCAGGCTAGAAGCATTTTGCAGAGTAGGGAAAAGACTGGGAATACAATGTCGAGTGGCTAATCCATAATTTGGTTAGAGAGCTGGGAGGCGATTGGTTAGTAGTCCGACTTATGCTTAATCAGATCAAGTTTGTCATTTTGCATCTTTTGGCTCAGTAATATTAGTCTGTATTTAAGTAAGGAAGTTAGGCTATGAAGATTTTTCTAAAAATTAATGCTTTTTAGGTTTTACCAATGTCTGTATCTTTCAAACATATTTCCAGAATGACTTTAGGACCTCCTTTGAGTCCTTAGATGAAATATAACTTCGCATTGCTTCTAATGGTTGATTAGCAGCATCGTTCATTTGAGTAAATCATTTTTCATTTAACTATCTCAGGTGCTTAATTCATCCACCTTCCCACTCTTTAATATTTACCAATTTTTCAGGCAAAGAATTAAACTATGGTTCTGAGGAGCCTTTTTAGGTGGGAGGGTATCATGGTAAACATGGTATCAAGGCTTGAGGGAACAAAACATTTTGAGCCAGTGGTGTTTGGAAATTTACACATAACCTTAGGTTATGTTCAGTTTCGAGATAAATGTTTTTTTTTGTTTGTTTGCTTGTTTGTTTCTCATCTTCATGAGTTTGAAAAGGAGAGAAAAAATTCCCTTTTACTCTTTTCTTTGAATCTGAACTGGGAGTTTCAGTCCAAAAGCCTTGAGTGGATGAGTGAAGCAGGAGGGCACAGAAAGGGGACCTCTGCCAGGTAAGGGTGACTGGCCTGCCTCCTGGGGGAAGCTCTACATCTCCTATATTAAAACTATTCAAAACTGGAATGTGCTCTGGGAGGAAAGCTTTACAACAGGGAAGGATTTGTTTTTATTTTTTATTTGTTTTTTTAATTTTTATTTATTTTTAAAGATTTTATTTATTTACAGAGAGAGAGAGCACAAGTAGGCGGAGTGGCAGGCAGAGGTAGAGGGAGAAGCAGGCTGTCTGCGGAGCAAGGAGCCCAATGTGGGGCTCGATCCCAGGACCCTGGGATCATGACCTGAGCCGAAGGCAGCCGCTTAACTGACTGAGCCACCCAGGCGCCCCAGGATTTGTTTTTAATAATGCCCCCCATTCAGTGGGATCATTGTGGTCAGAATGATTATTGAGCATCTACCAAGGACTGTGCCCTGTACTCTGCTCTTCATGGTACAGTATTACATTTGGTCTTCAAAACAACTTTGTGAGGTTCTCTTACCCCCATTTTCTAGATAAGGGACTATGGTGCAGAGAAACTGGATATGGGGGCTCTGGTCACAAATCTTACAGACCATACAGCAGAGATTCAAACCCAAAAGGGTCTGTCTCCAGAGTCTGTGCTCTTGACCACCATGTCTTACCCTTTGTTCTTCTAATCTTGGCTTCAGTACACTGCATCTTGTTTCTACAACATAGGAATTCCTCTCCTTTGATTCAAGAGAGATCTGCTTCTCTCTTCACTCCTTACTTTGTTCTTAAAGACCTGGGTCAGCAGCGAGC